TGTTCATCAGCCAACTATAAAAAGTCTAGTAAAAAGAAGGTATCAGAAAATGACATTAAAAATATGAAAGAAACCAGCATAAACAAGATGCGACAAGAAGTGTACATCTAAACTAAAATTACGCAGGAAAAATACAGGACTAGCTTATACAAACCAACGACTCCTTACTCCCGTACAAGCTTTGATGCCTCTATCCGTGAGCTGACCCCAACATGTACAGTGATTGGCAAAAGGAGTCGAAACATGATGAATTTGAGGACTTTTCATCGATAGCTTATGTAGGAGTTCTCTAAGCTTATACTCTCAAAGGTTTTGGTTGGCAGAATTTCAAAACTGTTTTTTGCAGTACAGAAACCTCCGCCTCGCAAAAAATACGGTAGAAAGGATTCTGAAGTGCTCCAAAACGTTTCATTCTTTCAAGAAATTTGCTGCTTTCGAAGTTCAGTTGTTCTGCTACTTTGTTCCACTGACGTTCTAGTAATGGTACGCCTCACCGGGTGGAATTTCAGCTTCTTCCTAACACTCTACGTCTGATCCTCAGATTCACATCTTCTTCTCCTGCCCGCAGCTAATTCTGGTGGACTGCTGTCTACCACACAGGAGTATTCAAATGCATGACAGGTTTAAGAAGTATTTGGAATAAAATTTTCCCTGTCCTCCGCCCTCTCCTCTCCATTTTTGGGAGAGTCCTAGTACTCCATTTTCCAACTTATACTAATGACTCTTAAAAATTACGTTTTCTTCTTTCAAAAATTACCTTTGGATAGAAATCTTTCCCTTCTCTATTCCTTTCTTCCTGCCGTGCTTTTGAAAATCAGCTGTTTCATCAAAGTAATTTACTTTCCACTTTTTGCTGTTGAAGGCGCACACGAAACATAAGGATTTAAGCGCTACTGCAGTTAACAGTGCCCGCCCAAAGCATCTTTTGATCGTCAACCTCAATTTATTTTTTGAATGCTTGGTTTTCACCTGCCTAATTCATCTATAAAAGATTCATAATTGCTCATTCAGCTCTTGCTAAGTTTCCAAGAGTAAAATGTCGGCTAAATCCCTTTGTCACCTCTTGATGCCGGTTTGAAATCATTGGATGACTTAATGACTACCAAGCGCATCTTTCAGCGGCGATTTCACGGGTCTGAAGAGGTTAAAATCCACTCCCCGTGCAGTTCATCTGCCCACTGTTCTCGCATTTCTTGACCATTTTCTATTTCACTCAAAAATATTCAGTCACATCGTTTTAATTGTGTACATAGATAGAGTTCAACAGATGGCACTGAGTGAGATTATTTTCTAGACGTTTCCAAAACTGCTTTTATTGCTTTATAAACCACCTCTAATTGCTTCCTGCTTTAAAGAAGTCAAGATGTGAAAAAAGTAATATTGAGAAAAAACCCTAAACGAAATTGAGGAGGAGTGACTACAGGATATGAAAGATGCAACAAACTTAGATTTAGGTAATATGAAAAAAAGGAAATAGTTAAAACAAAGATACGGGACAAAGTGTAGGTGTCAGGATTTCACAACCCATTATTTTGCTCCATCTTTTTTACACTAAGAAACAGCTGGACAAGTTTATAAATGGTAAAAGCAGGCTCTCTAGGATATAAACTCACTTAGTGCCATCCTTCAAGTTTCATATATACGACTAAAAGGTTGTGATTAAATTAGGTAATTTTGAGCAGGCCAGAAAATGAACGAGAAATATCAGAACTCTGAGTAGACTAACTGCATGGGGCGTGGATCTGGGCTACTTTCAAACCCGTAAAATCGCCGCTGTGAGACGTGCATGCTAACCACTGCACCACTCAATGACTCAGAAGCTGTATTTTAGAATGACAAAAGGATTAAGGCAACATTTTAGCATTAGACCGTTAGAAGGTTAGGACGAACTAAATGGACAGCAATGGAAATGTTGAATATGTTTAAGGCGCGGTCAAAAACCTCGTCTGCAAAAAATGAAGTAATGTTGGCAATCAAAAGGCGTACGTTTGGGGGTGACCTCTCTTAACCACAATACCACCAGAAATTACCAAGATCACCGTACTTTTGGAGATGCCTGAACGCGTAACCCTTAGCTGCCCTTATCTGAAACACGTGACAAAAAACATGACAAAAAAATACAACTCATCCCTATCCCATAGAGAGCGGTTTCACATATTCTTGAAGAAAAAAACGTCTAGAAATGTCTGGTTAAGTACTTTAAATAGACAGGGGTATTGGTGTAGACGACAGCCTCTTGTTCTTACGAGCCGAAACCTAACTCCATCTGTTTGCTATGACGTATAGGTGGTTCTCCTGAGGAGGCTCTTCAGCGCTCTGCACGTACCCTTCTATAAGAAATTTTGTCTATGCGCTAATGTTGGAGATTCTTGGAGACCTCTCTTTTCTCAATCTCGTCCAGAAGGGTCAAGCATCAGTGTAAGCACTCAATTGTCTTTTTCCTTAACAAGTCATTTTTGTACAAAATTTCGCTACCGTCTCTTTAGCCTTATGCTATTTTTTCCGGTTTTAATCTAGAAGTGTCTAAATTTTCCGACAAATTTTCCAGCTTTACGGGAATAAACATAATAAACTGTTGAGGATCAGAACAGTGTTCTTAATGTTTACTAATACTGCACCACTGTTGCGTAAAAGTCATATTATGGCCAAAGCGTTTGGTAAGGGAACGAGTCTAATAAAACGGTAGCTGAAGAATATTCGATTGCAATGAACCTCTTGCTTATAAAAAGTTACGGATAAATGTCTTAAATAGTGATCAGCAGCAAAGCGCCGATTAAAATATGCTAAAGAAACAAGTTTTACAAGAGTAGGAAAACAGATAGGGCAACACTATTGGTATATAGAAGTGTTGCTGGACCCTTAATCGTCAGCCACGACACAGCCAAACTTAATTTTTAATGCCGATACGACTTTCGTCTTTATAATGTGTGGTAGCTGTTGTTTGTCGACCGACTTTAAAAACACAACACAAATTTTCTGGCATACAAATGATATTGAAATGAGAGTGAGATTTCTGTTTTCAAAGAATTAAGCTCCTGAAGGTGAAGAATGACAAAAAAAGCTTTGCAACTGGCCGCACAAGTGATTTTTACTCTGATTTCAACATGAAACCTTTCAACCCTTTTTGCTGCATTTAGTTGTGACTTAAGCATGCAAATTTTACGTCGAAAAATACTTTACTTTTTTCTCTTTATAATTTCCAGAGGGTTGTACACTTTTCCAAAGAAGCCAAAAATAACTACCCTATTTCTAGCTGAAAATATGGAAACACTTCAAAGCATTATACATTTCAGTGAATTTTTTGAAAAATTTTTAGAAACATTAAATGGGCCGGACGATAGCCTGAAAGTTGGAGAGTACCTTTATATTTTAGGTTTTGGCCGACGTTGCGATTTTGTGGAAAAAACTTTTCTTTACCCATTTGCCACAACACCTCTGTTAGGCCATTATTGCCTACTCCTGCGCTTACTTTCAATATTACTGAGCTAGGAATAAATGAGAATCATTTAGATGGCAGTTTATTACTTCTAAAAATTTTACCAGAAAGGGTTTGGCACCAGGATACTGCATTTGTTACTCTTATTAAAGCATTCTTACATTTGACTGCTAATTTCAAAACCGATCTATAATTTAAGGCCGTTCAACCAACGCTCAAATTTCTGACACCTCAGAAGTATCAATAGCATCGCTAGCACTGTTCACCATCTTTAGAAAGATACCGCTCATTACAAGCGCCATTTGTCTATAAGAAACAGCCGCGAACCAGGTACGTTTTAGCGGATCGACTACAAAGCGCCAGGGCAGAAAATATTTGCTTTTCCATTAGGAACTTTGAAGCATAGGAAAAATGGCGTATCACTATCACTTTGCTAACAGCATATGGTCTAGAAAAGAAGATGACAACCAAGAACTGTTTTGAAAAAGGGGTTTTAATTTGGAAATTTTAGTGAATTCTGGTAAAAAGATAGAGGAAAGAGGAAAATGCGCAAGAGAAGGAACTACTGGCTGTGAAATAAAATTTTATTAACTGTTAATTTTAAATTGATTTAACAGTCATTTGGTCAGCAAAAAGGGATATGGGGAAAAGGAATATGGGCAAAAAGGGAAAAAGGGTCAGCAAAAAAAAAGCAAAAAAGCATTCTTCTTCAAATTCCGCAGTCCGTAAGTTTATATTAATCATAACTCAATTAAAACCTACTGATTAGGTTGCCCACTTGAAGACATTTCTTAAATTTCTTAAACTGTCTTCTTATGACTTTTTCAAATGTGTCCCAGTTTCTTTGTACTTTCCGAGGTTTTAAAAGAAGTTTAAGCACATAATTTCAAGGATTTTAGATAGCTTTTTTGTTTTTACTTTCTTAAGGAACATAGTAAAGTAAAATAAAGCGATTCAAGTGTTTTGTAACGGAATTTGTTTGCTAGGATCATTTCAAATGTTTATTGTGATTTGCAACGACTCGAGCATATTTAAATTATTATAGTTCTTTGAATCAAACAACTGCTTGAATGAAGTGAGCGGACTTTATTTAGAAATTCTCTTTATAAATATAAAATTGCTGTTGTATGGTGATAACGAATGCAGTTGGTGGGAAAACTAAAGTTTCTAAGATACCGTGAAAACTGGCAGAAAGGTAGCTTCTTCAGTTTTACTCGGTATTACCCGTACTGGGTAGCAGCCCTACCAAGTTCGAAGGATTTAAATTAGCGAATGCGTGACTGATGAATTAGAGATAATCACATTGTGAAAAAAGAATTTCTATTTAAAGAATTTCTAGAATCCAGAAGGCAGACAACGAAAAGGAAAAAAACTACGAAAGTTTGAAACAAATCTGCTAATTTTCTTAGTATTCTTCAAACTGCTGGGTAAATAAGAAACCGTGAACACATGGTGATTTGTATAAGAGTTATTGTCGAATAAAGACTACCGGAGTAAAAACAGGATAATTGCACAAAATGAAGCAGCCAGAGATTTGTTATAAAATACACAACTTCATATTTGGTCAATTTGGACCAAAAACAAAAGGTGGTCGAAGTTTTGGTAATGTCAGATTTTTCTCCTTAGGTTTAACCACTTGCTGGCTGCAGTCTCGCACTCGATTTTCTGTTGTATTGATAGTTCGAGGAAGTGAATGACTGTAGCGCGGTCTTTGTGTCCATCTGTGATCTGCCGTACGACGGCGTTTCGCTTGACGGCCTGATCGTTTTTCGGCAATTCTTGATGGCAGCAAATAGATTTCCAAGCAGCTAAATTTGTTATTTGTTAAGTTGTTTTGAGACAGACAAAATGTTACAGTTTATCCCGTTCTTTCAGAATTTCCAATGCTCTAACAGCTTTTGATGGCTTCGTATATTTCTTGGAAGCTCCAAAAGAAGTAATAAGTGAAAGTAGATAAGCCTTCTTTGATAATTGTTGATAGTTTTTTCATCAGTAATACACAGGCAACTGAGTAATAGCAAAGTAAAAACTATACTTTTCTTTGCCGCTTCGGTCAATTTCTGTTCTCCGTAAACGAGCAGATCTGATCCCGTAGTGTCGAAGGCTGGTATCACAAAATGAAAGAAGCGCCTGAACTTTCTCTAGAAGAGTGTTAAGCTCTGAATATTTCAACTCCGCTATATCATACAACAGTTCCAGGAATGCGTGGAAAGGCAATCCTAAAAAGGTTCTTTATGTCAGTATTTACTTAACAGCAGATCTCTTTCATCGTCATTTTGCTCATCTCTAAAGTTTAAATCCCAAGACAAAAACCATTGTCTAGATAGCTTCAATTAGTCTCTTAAACAATCTTGCCACTATCACATGTTTAAATTATTTTTAAATTTTCGCAAATTACCGTCGTAATCGGTGTAGGCCCCTTGTATTAGTCGACAAAACACTTAAAACATTTCTAACACTTAGCTTGCAGAACAAAAATTACAGCGTTTACCTGCCGTACTGCAGAAGTATTCTTCGTCAGTGAAACCAATATAAATTTTTCGAAACTTATTTTCTACTTCGTCAAAACTCATAACGTCGATTAAGTTACACTTCCTATTAAATAGTAAATAATATATAATAATATTATCATCAGAAAATTGTTAGTTACAATTAATTCAAGCGATATATGAAAAAATTGCAGAATTTTTGGAAAGTTCTGTGGTGTTGGCTTCACAAAATGAATTAAACTATCAGAGTTAAACAAAGTTTTAACAGCTTTCACAAACTGTATTTGTTAATTCCCATGACTGGGTACTTTGTCAAGGATAATTATGCCATCCTTCGAAATATCTGTTACGAGTGCTTGCCACAGCTGAAAACACTTTTTGCAAATTAAAGCACCTGATGAAGGAACGCGCTCCTGGTAACGTGATACTTGTAGTGAGCTTAAGATTAACGAACTGCATAAAAAGGTACATTGCCTTGTCCAAAAACAGTAAATGTCCACTGTTTTGCCGGTAGCGGTTTGGAAAAATCTGCAGAAAGGTTATAATGAGATGGTCATTATTTTTGGAGATATTTAATAAATGTTTTGTCTAAACCACAAATTTAAGTCGACTTGCCTCAGTTAAGTACGATTTCTTATTAGCTTTTGATCGGTTTGATTCATGTAGTACCTTATCTGCACAATTAGCGTTTTCCGTTAATGCTCCCAAAACATCACTGAAATAATTAAAAGATCGCTTTAAAAGGTTTGAAATTGAAAAATTTTTCTGCTGAAGTAATTGTTAACATCGGCCGTTTTGTTAGTAATAAAGTGCAATTTGAGGCAGAGCTCTGGGCATTCAGAAGATTGCATAATTTTGATTAAGGAGTTCAGTCTTTCTTTTGTGAAAGCTGCATTTACCTTGCGCTGATTGACATTAATTTTTCTGATTGCTGCGCTTTACGATTTTTTTCAATAGAGTGTAGTAAATTGGGTTTTGAACTATAAATTGATAAACTGAAGCTGATACGTCAGAAAGAAAGAAAGAAGTGCAGCTAAAGATAGATCTTCGTCTAATTCACCAGTCAGGACAATTTGCACTTAATAAAAGTTAAGGTTCTTTACAAAAAAAATTATCACTTTCACATCAGAGAAATAGAAGCAAGGAAGAAAATTTATACAAGTTTTATTGCCTACAAGGAAAGAAACGAGACGACTTGACTACGCACTTTACGGTGATTCTAAAGAGGAAAAAACTGACTCAACAGTTAAATGCAGTGATCTGTTGTATTTTCAGAAGTTGAAGAAAGTGATATTTAAAATAACAAAAAAATATACAAGAAAGATAAGCCAAGAAATTTTTTGAGTAAGAAATAAAAAATTTACCTAAGCGCTGTTGTACTGTTGTAATCCTTATCAAGCAAATCAAGAACTAAAAGTATTGTATCTCGTACAAGTGGTATTTTGATTACCTGTAAAGCTTATGGTTTGACAACCTGTTGACTAAACAAAATTTTGTGGGCACAAAGACAAGTGTTTATATCATGCCTTTGATAGCTCTTGAAAGTACTGAATGAAATTAGCGTTCAATTTGAATAATTAAAATGCTGTTTTATATTAGCAACTCGTTGTAACTGTAATCGAAAAAGGAAAAGCCTAACAAGGCATATCTCACCTCGTCAACAACTGAGCGTACTTTTGGAAGCTCTTCCTGATCACTTTCGCTAAGGTTATTTGAGTTTGTGACTACATGATTTATAGTTAAACTTGGCGCTGAATTCACTTCGAGCAGTATTGGTGTTTCGTCTTCCCTTATCATAATATCAAAGCCCATTATCTGAAAACCTTTATGAAGTGTGTTTCGCAACAGTAATTGATCAGTGTCGTAAATTCCAGCAGAAAAAACTTTTATTTACTATTTAGTAAGTAAAAAACAAAAATTTTTTAATGCCAGCCTAATCGGTTTATCATTACATCATTCCAGTTAGTGTACAAAAATTTAAAACTTCAGTGGACTTAACAGCAATGGTGCCATAAACATTGTCAATTTGCGTTTGTACCTGAAAACACTGAGGTCCAGGCGAGTCACAAAAGCAGTGTTCATAATTGAGCATAATTTCTGGTACCATAGCTAGCACAGTTTTGACAATAATAATTTTGATGTTATGCCAGAGCTGTCGAACGTTTATACCGCTTAGTTCCATTTGGTAAAAAACTGACGATAACAGTCTTTTGCTGGCTGAAGTTACCGTAGCGTAAATAAGCACTACTTAAATGTGACTTACTGGAAAAAATTTTTAGAGTTTCTTTGATAATACTTTGTAAATGGTAGATGTAACGACAAATATATCTTACCATGCACCTGATCCTTTAGTGTGTAACTGTGAACATAAGACTGATTGGCCTTATTTAGAGAATAATTTGTCAAATGTGCATACAAATTGTCGGCATTTTCTCGCTTAGGCTTAACATATTTTTCGGTACAAAATCTCACCATTCCTAAATATGAACTTTAGCAATTAGCCTTGAATGCTGTTTGACTTCTAAAATAACTTGTACAGGATAAATTCAATTACCAAGAGTAAAAAACAAAGTAAATTACACAAAATTAAGAAGTTTTGTTTGTACCTTCGCGTGCAACATAAATTGACAGAGGATTAATACTTTTTATTACCGCATAAACCCGTAAATCAAACTTCAAGCCATCTGACATTAAAAGCGGATCAGACACGTATTCCTGAACCAACTGTGGTGAAGTGAAATCTTTTATTTGATCAGTATTTTGAATTAAATAGATCCCAGCTCCTTGAGAACCTAAATCTTCACCAGTTTTCTTACTGCATTTTGTATAAAGAATTTTGAAAGGCTTATACATTTTTTCTACTTTATGTATTAGTTAATTTAAATGTAAGAATGATGTCCCGAAAAATTATTAACAAAAATTTTTAACTTG